GGGGCCTGTGCTGCACGGGCACTCCTGAGGCATGTCGTGGGCTGTGTGGGAGGCCTGTGCTGCATCTCTGCATTTAAAAAGGAGAATTTGTGTGTGTTTAGTTGTGAGGTTGTAGGAGGCTGCCTGTCTGATTCTGGCTTTTAAAGGTATCCAGCGTTCTTCTGTTGTTCTCTCCTTTGCTGCCTCCTGTGGTGTGACAACTTAGACTTAGACACTGCCACGCGGTTGGTTATAGTGAGGAACTAACACAGTGGGCAAAGAAGAGAGAAACCACCTTACCCCGCTCACTGTGTGGGTGCACGGCCACCAGCTAAGAGCAAAGCCAGGGGAGTTTACACCGTGTCTGTATCAGCTGAGGATCTGGCTTGTGAATGTTGGTTCATCATAAAACAAATGTTTGCAGGAAAAAAAAGGGATCTTTTATATGATACAAATAGTCTAGCTAATGTAACAGTATAACGTTTAACACCTCTACTTCACAAGTTACTAGTGATAGAACACAGGGTCCCAAGCTGCTCCAGGAGAAGTTTAGGCTGGACATTAGGAAGAACTTTTCCACTGAAAGGGTTGTTAGGTGTTGGAACAGGCTGCCCAGGGTAGTGGTGGAGTCCCCACCCCTGGGTGCGTTTAAAAGCCGTGCAGATGTGGTGCTGAGGGACATGGGTTAGTGGGGATCTGGCAGTGGTGGGGTAAGGGTTGGACTCGATGATCTTAGAGGTCTTTTCCAACCAAAGTGATTCCGTGATTCTGTAAACAAACCAACCCCTTACGTTCTATACATTTTAAAGTTAGTTCTGCTTTGATGGGTATCTCAAAAAACTTCTGAAATTAATTAAAACAAGTAGGATGCACTAGAGTGATTCCCCATAGGAAGAAAATACATTGTTTTGCTGCAAAGCAGTTTTGGTGAGATTCAGCAGATCCCATCTTCACTTCAGGTGGTTTGTAGCTTCATTCTTAAAGGTCGAAGATGGTCCTTTACTGTTCTTTTTAATAAGTTAGAATCCAAATTGACTAGTAAATGGCTTGCTATGTGCTTGACAGATGTGGAATGACAGTATTTTGTAAATGTGTGAGTACAGTACTGCCCAGAGACTCTCTCTGGAGCATTTTTAGAGTTGGTATTTTATACAATACTCAGGGTACTCCCCACTGTCCAAAACCTGGTGTGAGGAGAAGGGGGTTAGAGGACAGATTCTGATCTTACTGGGATTAAGTCACTTGAACATAGCTTGTATTTATAAAATCTTATCTGCTCGCTCCTCTAGAAGGGGAGTTTGGGTTTCTTCATGTCTAAACATAAACTTTTCTAGTAAGAGTTTCAACTGATGTAAAGATAAATGTTTTTTTAAACTAAAGTAGGAAAAGGTAGAGGAGGGACTGTGCTGGACACTCTGGCTTCCTGGGGGAGCTGATGGAGTGATCTGTGTACTGAACTTCTGCCTTATTTTCAGAAGTTCTTCGCTCCACCTCTCCCTTGGCTGCACCTTCTGACTGCTGGCTCTTCTCTTTGTGCCAGCATGAAAGGCTGCACAGCAGTGTAGCCCACTGCTTTAGGGAGTTTACCTGTGCTATCCACCACTGAAAAAACAGTGGAGTTTTCCCCAAGGGAGTTCTCAGGTCGTCATGTGGGTGCACAAACCCCTTTTTCCCTATTTGGGGGGAGGGCAGAGTCTGCTTCTGTTGGCAGCTGAGCTGGCTTAGGCAGATACAGAGACTTCATGGCACTGAGATGTCCGGAATGTGCCATCCTCAGTTGTTCCTCCTTCTGTGATCATTGCTCCGCTAAGTTTGCTAGGAACTCCTGCTTGCTGAGAAGGAAGGCAAACCGGAAGGAGAGGAGGTGATGGTTAGAGTTTTTTTGTCAGGAAGAGCTGCTGGGCTTTGATTGACAGGTGGGACAGCTTTACCAAGGATGGTTGCAGAAGGTCTGTGCTAGTCCCTTCAAATCCCCTCCACGGCAGGAACGGTGTTGCCAGCACAGCAGTGCTGAGCCCCACGGCACTCTGTGGCCTGGAGTGTGGCACACAAATGCTGCTCATTGCAAGCTGTCTCAGTATCCCAGTCAGCACGTGTGGGGTTCTGCAGCTGACAGACAGGACCTGTGCAGCTGGGAGCAGCAGTCACCATGGCTGTGCCCGAGTGACCCGTTCCCCTCGCATGCAGAGCCCGTGTGCAGGGGGAGCTCAGCCCGGCCCCCTCTCTGCCCCCAGGTACATGTACTTCACCAACATGCAGGAGCGAGCGCCCCGCATCGAGCGCGCCGCCCTGGACGGCACGGAGAGGGAGGTGCTCTTCACAACAGGGCTGCTCCGGCCCGTGGCCCTGGTGGTGGACAACAAGCTCGGGAAGCTCTTCTGGGTGGATGCGGACCTGAAGCGCATTGAGAGCTGTGACTTGTCAGGTATGTGGCACGCGGGTAAATATTTGGAGCGTGTGTAGGACATGATTCCCTCTTTGATGCTGACCTCAGTAACTTCTGTCGCCACCGTTGCCAGTTCTGTGTAGACAGTCACAGACGGCAAATACTGGTGGGCTTCCATCTTTGATGTGATTGGAATAAATATGTCTGTAATGATTGCCACTCTCCAAGAGAGCCATTTGACCTGGTGTGTTCTGACAGCAGCTCTTTCAAGATCAGATTTAAATAGGTGTTGCCAGTCATGGAATGTCTAAATTACCTCCCCCGTGCCCTTTTTTTCCCTTCTGATTTGAAAAGTTTGCATAACTCTTCGGTTTTCTTTTCTCTGGAGTGCACAGCTTAGTAAACTAAGGTAGAAACAAATGGAAGGGGAATCGCTTTCCTCTAAGATGGATGGGTAAGACAGCTCGTCTGGAATACCAGTGGTGCAAAACAGTGGAGAGAGGTCAACTCATTGCAGTTTCTGCCTGTTAGTAAAATAAAGCATTAATCCACGTCTGTAGCCGTAGCACCATGTGGAACTTGGGGAGTGCTGTTGATCATTGACTTTGAGAAGCAGTTGGTGTGCTGAAGAAGTGATGAAATGGGCTTGCTCATCTGCTGAGCAGCGTAGCACAGAGGATTCCACGGCCCTACTTTCTCATTTGTGATTCATTCTTTCACCATTATCCGTATCAGGAGATGAAACTCGTGAGGGGAGTGCAGAGAGAGGTGGACTAGTGTGAGGGTATAGCAGCTGGGCTGTTCTGGTGATTTACATGTGCCATAAAAGGCTGATTCTCCAATTTTTTTGTGGCTCTTCTTGTCATGTAGTCACATCCTTTCCTTGTGGCGTTGAGAGGCAATGAACTAAAACAGGAGAAAAAAAGTCACTTTTTTTTATGGGGACAGTTCACTTCTGGGCACCTAAAACTGACTCAAGGTCAGACTCTGGTCTCCTCTTCCAGAAAGTGGAGGAAAACATGGAAGCTGGAGCTAGGGATGTGAAGCAGCCCATGCCTTTCATCAGTTATCAAGCTGGGTGAGGTGGTATTGTCAAACTGTCTGTGTAGCCACAAAATGGCCAGTCCAGGATCAGCATCAAGAGAACCTACCAAAATTTTTAGGAGAAAAGAACATAGGAGAAAGACAAAGACATGGCCTATGAAACAACCCATGTTTGGGAAGACAAGGTTGACAGAGTAAGACACGTAACGCAAAATGCATGAGAGATACTGAGAGGGTTTTGTCTAGTGATGAAAGGAGAAGCACTGTCGGAGGAAATCAGAAGTAAAATGACAAGATGGGAAAGCTCCATATCATGCAGGTGTTGTGGCTGAAGTGGTATCCACAAACGCAAAAAAGGGAGAGGAGGCACCAAAGAAGATGATGTGGAAATCACATGGCTTGAGAGAGGGGGAATCTACCAGGGAGAAGTGAATGAATTCAGCAGGTGGGACAGGATCAATATCTAGTGCTGCCACTGATAAAAAGGTGGCCCCCGTGTACCAGGAAGCCGTATTGCTTGACGAAGATGTAGCATGCTCAGTGGCCCAGGCTGTGCCCAAGTTTTCCTCTCGTATGTACACAAACAGCCTGTTTTCCCCTTAAATGTAGCATGCAAGCAAGGTTGAGTCTGAGCTAGCAGAGAAGCCAGGGGCAGGTGGCTCTTGCTTGTGATGTTACAGGTTGGAAGATGAGCTGTGTCCTTGCATGGTAGAGCATAAAATGAAGAGGAGTCTGTTATTATTGGTTTAGATCTAAGTCTTGAATGCATAATGGGACTTAGGTAAACTGATACCTGAACAAATCAGCAGCAGGGCCATCACTTGCTGGTAGTTGTATCCTGGGATTGCAGCTTCCACTGTACACATCCTTCATTTTTGTGACATTAAAATTCAATATAAGCATATATTTGCATACTGGATACATATTTTAATCCTATTCTTTGGCTCCTTTTACAATGAAAACTAAACTTTCTCAGTTAATATTGAACCACAGCTTTTGGTGCACATTTATTTGATGGGGTCACAGCTAAAGAATCAAACTCTCTGTAAGATAAAAGCAGGGGAAAGCTACAGGATTAAAAGAGAATGATGTTTATTAACGAGAGGATATGTATCATGTAGCCAGAAAACGCGCTGTATTTGATCCGTCTGAGCTCACTGTAATTTGATTCACTGAACTGTTGACTTTTTAAATGAGTTAACAGCATATTTTTATTCTAAAATATTTTGCAGTCTTGCATCAGAACTTCAGAAGAAATTTGACAGCCAAAGTTATGTTGGCTTTAATTAGTTCTCTAAAAAACTTTTTCTGAGCAAAACACTTTAAAATGAGCATATATTAGCAAAAAGATTTTAGTGTAAAGTGAGGCTGATGAATAAATAGGACCAAAGTTGTGTATAACATCCTTCATGCCAGTTAGACTGGTCTAGACAACCTGATTCCCTCACAGGCTTGGGGAGGTGGTGTGGTTGTGCAGGTTTCTGAAGCTTGCAGTACAGTCTGATTAACAGCATCCTGCTAAATCAGGGAATAACCTCAGATGTCCAGTGCTTATGTTTCAGAGAGGGATGAAAGAACTGTAAACCTAACAGGTTTCTTTATGAGGTTCTTGAATTTTTCAGTTGGAGTTGATGCTTTTTAGGCATTCATAAACCATTTGCAAGCTTGTCTGCTACACTAGTCAATTAAAAAGTTGTGGCTTATATTATTGTTGAAGTGACTAGAAAAGCTATAAAGTTGCTGCAGTGAAAATTTGCTTTGTTTTCAATTAGACTTTAAATAGAGGAATTGTGTGTCCTTCCAGCTTAATGTTCTTCACATATAACTATTGGTTTCCATCTTGAGAATGTTTCATTCTGGGAATCAAAGTATTTAATTACTGGGGAAATGCCACACTTCTTTACTTGTAACAAGTGTTGTCTTTTTTCTGACTGTATCTGTTGAAAATACCCTTTTATTTGTTCAGATTGATATTTTCATTTTAATCAGTCTTCTAAATAACAATTTAGTGCTATCATCTAGTGCTGTCAGTGCCCTTTGCCTCTGCTTTTAAAATTATTCATTATTAATTTGAACTGTCATTCACTCAAGATCAAATCCAACATAATTACAGTATAGGTTGATTGCTTATCCTGTGCCATCTCCAGCAGCTTCCCAAATCACCAGTGCCCAGCTTTTTGCAGATGAGGTAGAAGAAGAAGGTGTTTGATGTACACCCCCAAAACCCATTAAATGTAGCCTGTTTTGGGCCTCAACTGGGGAGATTCTTCAAACTGCAGGACAGGTAGCTTGCAAGTATTGCCTGACACCTCAGGTGTTCATGATGCCTTCAGGACATCCTTCATGAAACCAGCCTGCCTTTTATTTATAAATAAATGAGCAATTTAGCACTTAAAAAATCATGGAGGCAGAAGGATTTTTCTTTATGTTGAGTTAAAATGAGGCTTTACTATACTCCTGGTGTCTTGACCAAAGATGAAAATTGTGCTTTTGGGTCAAAAGGCTTAGCCTGGCAAAAGGACAGTTGTCTGTGAATGATGGAGTGACACTGAAGTTCACAGGAGCTAAGGGTGCTCCCTTCATTAGTAGAGCAAATGAACAGAGCACCCTGTGCTTTGCTCAGTGAGAACCTTCCTCAGTCCAGGTGTTGCCTGCTATTCCTGTGTTTTAAGGCTCGTTTAGTAGAAGAAAGAACTAACAGACTCTGAAATTGAAATAAAGGTTACGTTCCTATGCTTGGCTGAGCTCTACATAATTTATGCATCGAATTAGTTGAATCCCATGAGCGCTCATAGCACGTTTATTATGGATCCAGATTCCATAATATTTTGTGTAGATAATCAAAGCATCTTTTTTAAATGCAAGCAGATTTAAGATCTTTATTCCAAAATGAAATATGAGCACAGAAGCACCAAGTTAGCATTTTGTTTTGATTCCTTGTTTTAAAAATCAAATATATCCAGTACATTTAGGCATCCACAGCCTCTAAATGGTTTCTTTGAATTAATACATTAATCTGTAATCTGTTCACCTTAGGCAAGCATAACAAAAGCAACAATTAAATGCCACTAAGCATAGGGCAGCACACAGTACAAGACTGCAAGCAATTAAAGTTAAAGCAGTCATAAATGTATTTTAACTTAACCTGATTTTTGCATGTTGGTAGAGAGCAGATTTTGGCAGGTTTCTGTAGGGTAGAAGACCTGAGCATTTGGTAGCGTTCCTGTTTCAGAGCATACACATGGAAGGTGGGTTTGCTGAAGAAACAAGAGGTGAAGACAGAATTGTGGCTGTTCAAATATGAGCTCTTCTGTCCTGATCTTATCTCTGGCTGTGACACAGCAGAAGACAGGGTTGGTTTGTGTACTTGCCTCTCGCTTTGTATGATGAACGTGCTTTATTTGAGTAATGGAGGAGCTAATTGGTTATTTCACTCTTGCCTGTAGATTCCAACAAAGCATGCTGCTCAGTGTGAGTGTATAGTGAAGAATTTTGGCCCAAGAGCTACATCTGTGTTGATGACACAGGCTCTTGGGGACTGCACAGTTACACACAGCAGAGCGTGGGTGATCGTGGCTGGCTGTATGCAAGGAATGAGCTGTGTGCCATGTTGTATCTGCATGCCCTCAGGATGTGGCAACTAATTGCATTTACCTGAGTTGAGGCTGAATAAACAGGGCCTTGGTCTGCATAGACAGAGGAAGCCAGAGACTTCAGACCAAACTATTTTCAGGGTTTGGTTGGGTTGGGTTCTTTTAAGAAATTAGTTAAAAGTCAACTCATGTAAAACTAGTGTTTGTTTTTGGTGATCTCAGGTGCTAACCGTGTGACCCTGGAGGACTCCAACATTCTTCAGCCAATGGGACTCACTGTGCTGGGGAATCACTTGTATTGGATTGATCGGCAACAGCAGATGATTGAGAGGGTGGAGAAGATCAATGGGTACAAAAGGACTAGGATTCAAGGCCGAATTGCTCACCTAACAGGCATTCATGCTGTGGAAGAGCTTGATATGGAGGAATTCTGTGAGTTTATTTCAGTATCTGATGTCTCACTCTCAGTCACTGTCTCTCCAAGCCCTCATCCAGCTGAATATTTTAATAACATTGCCCAATGGGCTTCAAGGAAGAACGTCCTAGAACAGCAGGAGAAACAAGTTCCTTGTTCTTGTCCAAAGGAGTATTTCTGCACAGCTAGAATATGTGATTTCATGGCACTTTGTTACCTGTTTTGTAGTAGCATTATACAGAATCCATGATACAGGACTCACTGTAAAGCAACTTACAGTTATGGTGGTTAATTTTTTTTTGTATAGTCAAGTGATAAGACTTGGGAAGACCTTTAACAAGAAAGGAAAAGGTTTTACTTGCCTTTTCTCCAGGGGTTTCAGACCCCTTGCAAAGCACAACTGGTGTGAATCGGCACGATCAATGATGCAGAAGCCTCCAGTGAGAGAGGGAGAATGGGCAGGAGGCTCCTGCAATCCATTGTGGTGGATATGGAATTGTCCCATCAGAGGCAGAGCCATTTTAGGTGCTCCCTTCCAAGAGGGGTCATGGATACAGGACCTTCTTTTTCTGGACTGGTGGTCCATGTCCCTGTGGTCTGAGGGAGAGTCCTCAAGGTGGCAACTTTTATGCTCCTCCTGCTTAACAGGAATATAAAAGAGGATATAAAAGCACAAACAAGGCATGGAAAACAGAGGGTTAATGACAGTGGCCTTTTTAGACTTTGTTGTCCATGCTGAGTTGTGTCATAGAGGGAGGAGGGTACCTTTGTTTCTGATGGTTTCGTTTTTAGAAGAGACTGTTGCACTCTGCCACCCTCTGTGCCACATGCATTAGTTTCTGTGATAGCTGGAAGTATTTTCAATCCTGCCTGTGTGGGTAAGCTGCTACAAGGAAGGTAGTGCAATATGGAAATCATGGTTGATTATACTTGCTAATCCTCATCCAGATGTTCTTTTTTCTTTCATAATACCCATTTTTCTTCTTCTGTGCCATTTCTCATATTTTCAGTGTATTTCAAAGGTAATACTGAATGATGCAAAAAGTTTTTTTTCTTTAATTCTCAGCACTGTTAAAAAAATAAGATTATATCCCATGTGCTTTTTGGAAATGTTTATTTTTTATGGCAACACTACTGTTTTGTCTCAGTCACACTGATGGGAACCACCTTTTGCAGCTTTAAAACTGTCCAGCACAGGTGACCTCTGTTACAACAGGGGAGTAAAACTACATATGCACACATGTTCACATGTGTGAACTTTGGCCCAGAAATTATGACATCTATATTGTTTCTTCCAGTAGAAACTCCTGTCCTTACTAGACAACTTCTGTTGAGTAACAACACGTTACCCTACTTTACTAGGTGTAAAGAGTACATTGTTCTGCAGCATCACAAATAAGCACGGGCTGTAGCCCCACAGATCTCTCCAGCAGATGCTCAGCTGTCAGCTCGAAGAAACAGGCAGGAGACTGGATCTCCTCTGATTCTCTTGGGCTGGGGTCCTCAGACAGTGACCTCACTTCTCTACACTTGTTTGTATCCACCTAATGTTCATTTAGAATGGTGCTGTTAGGAGCTCTAGATACTTCTGGGCTCAGACCAGAAGTCTGGCTTCTCAGTGGCTGCTCAGTGCTTCTGGTGACTGATTTGGGAACACGAGCATGTAGCTTCCTAGCTTAAAAAATAAAATAAAAAAATTAAGTGTATGTGCTGACATGGCAGTTTTGTGAGTAACAGGGAAGTGGAGGGGCTAGCTAAGAACAGGTCTTCAAGATTAAGGGAGAATTCCTGATGATTTTGGGATTGGCATTCTGCAGTGAAATGTGTTAGTTCTCGATGTCTGGCTGCCCTTGAAATGCAGGTGGAATGCTTAGGTGCGTTGTAAACACGACCTTCTCAATTCTGCCTTCTCATTCCTCCTCACCTGAGCTCCCAAACTCTTCTTGGAAGTCATTTAAAGGTCTCCATATCACTCTGACTGGGAGAAATGCTTGTGAAGTGCTAACTCATCTTTGGAGCACTGAACTGAAAAATCCTGCATTTATCTCCCTATTAATTTGCAGTGGAACCTTGGTTCTGATTTCTTTTACGCTGTGTGATACTCTTTTCCGTGTGTTTCTCCAGCTGTGCATCCATGCTCCCGTGACAATGGTGGGTGTTCACACATCTGTATTGCCAAAGGGGATGGGACTCCAAGATGTTCATGCCCTGAGCACCTTGTGCTTCTGCAGAATCTCTTAACGTGTGGAGGTGAGTTATGTTTAACAGTACTGCTGAGCAGCTCACATGTAAGGCTGAGGGGGGTTGAGGCTGCATGCCAATCCAAAACATGGATGTCCTCATAGTGTTTTCCCTACGTGTGGTGCGTTGCGTCAGCTGTTAAATTGACCTTTTGTTCTACCAGCTGTTTTCTGCTTCAGATTTTGGACAGACATTGACTTTTCATTGTGAGGAGAATATTCTTGTTTGACCTTAGAATACTTGCAGCTTCGACTGAGATTGTTATAATTGTATAATGTGACACATTTGTGCTTTGAACAAACGGTTATGAGATGATCTTGGCTCAGCCCCTGATGACCTAGCAGCAGTATCTGTAGGTCCGACTCCCACAGTGTGATACTCCAGTCTTTCAAAGGAATTTGGCCTCATAACGTGAAACTGTACTGTATAGTTAGGAAATGCAGGGCAAAAGCCCCATTGTATCCTTTAATTAAGGTAGTTCTCCTCTCACCACATGGTGGACTTTGCCTTTTGACTTCCCTTTCACAATACCTGGATTTTAAAAAAGTGTTGTTACACATGCAGAGGGAATTGGAACCAAAACAAACCCCACATTGTTTCTTTCTGAGAAGTATCATATCTTAAATCATTTGGCTCTGTTGGTCCTCTTGACTTCTTTTATTGTATTCATTTTGCTGTGGGTTTCATTTTCTGGCTGAACTCTGAACTCCCATGGGACACACATTTTCATTATGAACCCTTTTCTTTCCCATGACCACAACATGCTATGTGGTTTTGGAGCAGTGGTGGTTACATCTGCAGGGGGCAGAAAAATCAGTCTACTTATATTTCTTTCTGTGCTGTTGCACAACATGGCCAGCAAGAGATTCTTACATCCCACTCCTTTATCTTAAGCTATAAATCTAAAAATTAAGGGTGCTCCATTTCAGTGTCTGTTTTTTTGGTTCTAATCCTCCACTAAGCCTGCAACAACTTTTTAACCCATCTCGTCTGTCGTAGTAGCAGCCAGTAGCCAGTGTTTCAGGATGGATTAATAGCTGTTTTGGCTGGAGAACATTTGTCACCTTATGAATACTTTTGACAAGTTTTTAAATGCAAGCTTGTGCTTGCCAAATGCAGTCATAATACAATATTAAATGTGGCTTTAAATGCAGAAGTACTAATCTGTCTGTTGAATTATGTTGAACAGCACACTCCTATCAAAATTTAATTCCAGAATTATCTCAGTGTGCGTATCTGGCATCTCTCTCTTACCTACAGCTGTCAGGTCATCCACTACGTTTGTAATTCTCATATCGCTGCACAAAACAATCGCGACATTTTCAACAAACAAATACATTTGGATTTTTATTTGCTTTTTTTTTTCCAAGCTCTTGATTCTACTTGAGTCTCATTCTGGAACGTTTGTCTCTAACAGAGGAAGGACAACAGCCCTTCAGAATTGGTTTGTGTAGCTCTAGGATCTGTAACACCACGCTCAGGAGAAAAACAGGGGTACAAATGTCTTGTCACTGGTTGCAGCTGAGAACCTTCTGTTGTGCTGGTTCTTTGGGAAGTCCATTCCTGAGCTGAGTGTTAGTGAGAGCTGGCTGGGTTTGTGGAGGAGTGTCACCATCCCCTGTCAGAGCACACCTCCAGCTTGCTCAGTGGTGTTGTCGTAGATGAGCTACAACGTGGTGCGGTGTTAACCCAAGTGGCAAAGCATCTGCTTAGAGCTTTAGCTGGCAGCAGCAGCTGTGGGGCTGTTAATTACATCACTGGGATTTCACCCAGCAACTTCTGAAGTCAGTGGAAATGTGTCTGCTGCAGCAGTGTTTTGAGATGCCCTCCTCATTTTGCACATAAGTAACTGCTACTGGTAACGACTGAAGGGACTCACGCATTAACTGTCGCTGTCATTGATACTCATGGTGGAAAAGTGTTTGCTAGTTTGCTGTAGGTGAGAATTGGAGCATTTTTTTTCAATAGATTCTTGATGTGCCTTGTCTTTGCCTTTTGACGTTCTGATGACAGCAACGGTGAATGCCTTACCATGGTTGTGTCTCTACCTGAAGCTGTAGCTGCTGCTTAATGCTACTGGTGTGTGATTGCAGCTTGAGAACAGCATAGATGCAGAATAGATTGGTGCCAGGATCTTGGGCCACTGACCTGTAGCCTAGAGACCATCCAGCAAGAAGACTTGCCTTAATGTTTAACAGACCTTTACAGATATTTTTTCACCATTCATATTTTTCAATTAGTATCTAACTTGGAAATTTGGTTTTGGAGAAACCATGGGGAAAATAGAGAAACCAATATTGTAGAAACAGATGTTCCGTCTTTTAGGTGTATTCATTGCCAGTTAACCCAATGTGCCAGGTTTTTTTAATGAATAATTGTTCCAGGCTAATAAAATGGCCTAATAAAATTGGATTAGAATTGTGTGAAATGTGCTTTGCAGTCAGAAATTGAGTATTCATTTAAATTTAGGTGCATGACATTGTCTTCCAAAAGGTGGCTGTTAGAGCCAAAGTAAGTGTTTGGAGCTCCTGTAGTGCTCTCCTGCTGGAGCGTGCTTCCCCCATCAACAGGCACCCAGGTGTCGTTATGAAGTTGGCAAAATTTCATTCCCTATGCAAAATCATATTTTTCTTTCCAAAGGAATCTTAATATTATGTCACAGAAGAACTTCAGTCTTCACAAGTGTGTTTTTCTTGGAAAAAGTCCATTGCATTTTCAGACTGTTGTAAGGGCTAAAATTGAATATACAAATGTGACTGGTTCTCTCTTTCTCCAGAGCCCCCAACGTGTTCCCCAGACCAGTTCACCTGTGCCACTGGAGAGATTGACTGCATCCCGATGGCGTGGCGCTGCGACGGCTTCCCAGAGTGTGATGACCAGAGTGATGAAGACAGTTGCCCCATATGCTCTGCCTCTCAGTTCCAGTGTGAGAAGGGACAGTGCATTGATGCACACCTGCGGTGTAATGGAGAAATTGACTGCCAGGATAAATCTGATGAAGCAGACTGTGATAGTAAGATTAATTCTCCTGACCTTGTGGTTCTAACATAAGCGTCCGTTTGGGATTCTGACTGTTCTTGATACATATATGTATGATTTTTAGTTTCAAATAGGGGAAAACAGCCTTAACCATGAGCCTAAATAAGCTATTCACTGATTTTATTTTTCTTTCCCTCCTCCTTGTTCTGTTGCTCCAAATAAACTCTGTAACTACAGAACTGCTGACCATGAGGTAGGTGAGGGAGAGTATTATCAGTCCATGATCAGAACGAAAACAGGAGGGGAGCTGGCAGATCTTGCCACCCCTCCCCCCTCCCCTGCGTAGCTGCCGCTCTGGCTCGGGCCGTTTCCAGTGTCCGCTTCCCCTTTGGACAATGGTCACTGCAAGGTGCCACAGGGAGGAGGAGGTGGACTGAATCCTGTGGCTGAACTGGCTGTTCAGAGAGTTCACTCTTAGCAAGCTGATGCTTCTAGTTCTGGATTCAGCTTTCTGTGAGAAACCTGTGGAATGATGTCCAGGGAACTCGTGCTGCTGCGGCTGCTTGGTGTGCAGTCAGCTGTAGGACCTGGGTCCAGGAGAGAACCATGGCTGGATGCATTGGCATCGTCCTGTGGTGGATGGGAAAACCTGCATATTCTGGGTCTGTTGTCAGGGCATAGCCTAAACAGACGCCTGACTGTGAGCTGGCACCATGGCTTCCCACTGCTGTACAGACGTGCAGGAGCCTCCCCAGTAGTGTGGCTCATGCTCTGTGAAGCCTCAGGGCCCCTGGCTCTACTCACTTAGTGGCTAACCATCGCCACTGGGCCAGCAGGGTGGGGTTTTGTGGATGTTTCAGTGGGCAATTTTGTGACTTCATAATGTCTTCTGAGCCTGCACACCAGAACACCGGTGCCTTCTTTGCAAGCAAGATGATCAGCCATGTCCAGGTTTCTGCCTTTCTTGTGGGAGGTGTTACTTACTTCTGTACTGCTTCATCAAGAGGTTTTGTTTTGTCCACCATGGAGCCCATATGTTGTGGAGTGGTGGCGTTACCCACACACAGTCTAGGCAGAATGTGCATTTGTTCATCCCCTGTGTAATGGTGGGCACTGCGAAGCAAACTTCATGCCAGTGTTCCTGGCATTGTATGAGCTCTAGGTGCCTGCTTTGCCCTGCACAGACCCTTTGAGGACACAGATGAGCCTTATCAGCTGGTCTAGAGTAGTCGAAGACACATTTCTTCAGTGGTTTGAGTGCTCAGTGGTTGTACACCTAGTCCTCTCCAAGCACTTGGGCTACCCAAGACAAGACTTTTGTCCAGGATGCTGTCTGACTCTTCCCTAGAAGGACTATGAACATAGTCAGTGTCCAGGGTTAGTCTGAGGGAGCTGTAGCAAATGTGACTTCTGTAGTCCTCGGGAATCTTTACAGGCCATGGCCTGAGCAGGTTCCTGAGGAAAATGAAACCTATGTGCCTTTCTTAGCCCTTAGCATGTGTCAGACTGCAACCCACCGTGTTTGGGGAAGGAAAAGTGCCATGTAGCACTTTCTCATTCTTTATATGGGTTATACTAAGGTGGTGAGACAGAACCCTTCTACTGGACCTCATGCATCACAGGAATTGCCCTCTTGTCAGAGCAGTGACAGTTGCTGCCTTTCCATATGTCTGAGGCAAATGCATTGGTTCTATCAGAAGCCACTTCTGTCCCCTGGTTTCCCAAGGCAGACTTTTGGAGAGTTGAATCTGAAGCATTGGCACAAGGGTTGCAGACTATGACTGGAAGTGGCCAAAGAAGAGCCCTGGATATGTTCATAGTTCTTGTCCCACATCTTCAGGACTGTGGCTTCCATCTGCTTGCATTTATTGTGGCACTGCCAGCTGTTCCTCTCATACCCAGTGAAAGTCACAAGCTTAGCAGTCTCTTGATACTGCAGCTGGATTGCCATGCCACTGTGTCCCCTCTGCAGCACAGGTTCTGTGCTCCCAAGTTGTCCGTTGCTGTATCAAGAAGAAACAAGGAGTCCAACAGGGCAGGACAGCAACAGAAGGTACATAAGAAAGGAAAGGATATTAAGACAGAAGTCTTGATGGAAGACAAAAGAGAAGCAGCCAATTGCAAGAATAAGTAGAGGGCTGGTATCATTGGCAAATAGGAAGGTGCACCAAGAACTTGGTCCTTCTCGTTATGCAAGACCATGAATGGTGAGGTGGAAGCTCTAGATGGCTTTAGAGCCTTCTGTCAACACCTGTGTGTTTTGTATGCACTGTAGGACCTTGTGGAGCCGCATCCAACTTACTGGGGGCCTAACAATGCATTTGAAGCTTCTAGCTAAGTTTTTTTCTCTGTAGATAATTTAGCTCTCTTCCATGAGAGCTGCTTTGTGAGCATGGCTGTTCAGGAGGCCCACTTCACAAAACCACCAGTGCTGTGATCCAAAACAGGAATATGGATCTTCTCCTCCAGAAGAGAAGAGCCTTTTTTCTCTTTGCATCAAATAACCTATACTGTGCACCTTCCAGGACTGCTGATTACTAGCCCTTGTAAGTCTCTTTACTGATCATTGAATATGCTTTCACTGGATGGAGACTTGAAAGTTAATTAACAAGTCAATTTTGCTGAAACAGGTTTCTGAATATAGATAAAAAATATAGCAGATAACTTTGTTAATTATTGTTAGAGATTCTTGCTGATTTGATCCGTTTTTCCCCAACAAGACTGATTTGAAAAAGGCTGCAGAGCTACGGGGATCAGAGTTTTATTTTAGCCCCACTCAGCAGGATGTGTAACAACAAAAATTAAGACTAAGAGAAATGTAGATTTGCATTTTTCCCACAGCAGCAAAGAAGGTGCTTAAGAAGGACATGGAGCTGTTAAAGCAGGTCCAGAGAAGGGCAGCAAAGCTGATGAAGTGTCTGGGGAACATGGCTTGTGAGGAGTGACTGAGGGACCTGGTGTTCATTAGTCTGGAGAAGAGGAGGCTGAGGGGAGACCTTCTGGCTCTCTACAGCTCCCTGAGAGGAGGCTGGAGTGAGGTGGGGGTTGGTCTCTTCTCCCAAGGAACTAGTGATAGGACAAGTGGAAATGGGCTCAAGCCAGGCCGGGGGACATTTGGATTAGGTGTGAGGAAGAATTTCTCTCCTGGCAGAGCAGTGAGACATTGGCCCAGGCTGCCCAGGGAGGTGCTGGAGTCCCCAGCCCTGGAGGGGTTCAGAAAATGTGTAGACACAATTCTTCAGGCCATGGTTTAGTGGCCATGCTAGTATTAGGTGATGGTTGGACCTGATGATCTTGGAGGTTTTCTCCAAACTTAATGATTCTGTGGTTCTGGTGCCTGCCTGGTCACAAGATGAAACACACCATGGCTTCATGTATCACATCTTTTGGTTTTCTTAAGATGCTGAAATGCTCCCATGCAAAGCAATACTGAGTGTTTTCTTTCTTCTGTGCAGCAATCTGTCTACCCCACCAGTTCCGGTGTGCGAGCGGGCAGTGCATCCTCCTGAAGCAGCAGTGTGACTCCTTCCCAGACTGCCTCGACGGCTCTGATGAGCTTGTGTGTGGTGAGATGTCCTTCCCTGAGATCCCAGTGAAGTGTTCAGGCGCAGTGTCCTGTGTCCCTCTGCAGAGCCCCAGGCTTTGCACAGCAGTACTCTTCCAGGGAAGCCCACTGAGTCCTGGGCAGACACTGTCACAGTTGTGTTTGGCTTCTGAATGTAGCCCTGCACTTCACTGCTCTGTGTGGCAGGAGCGTGAGCTGGCCACGTGGTCTAGCAAGGCTCTAATGCTCTTACCCCAGCTAATGCAGGAGGAGCAGTAGTGAAGATGAACTGAAATCCCAGTGTTACTTCAGGCTGGTTCTAAAATGGTGTACAGGATAAAATGTGGCCTTGTTTAGGTGGGCCTCCAGATCAATACCAGGGGGACCTAATTCTACTGCGCTCAGTACCTTGGAACTTACAGAGCTGCTGCTCAGCTTGGAGTGGATTTGAAAAATGCACAGTCCTGTCCACTGCAATCACAGGGTCAAGTTGGAGGCTAATGGTTTGGAGGAGCTAGCATGCAATGAGCAAGGGTGCACAAGACACCACAAGCTGGTCTCTTCAAGTGCAGGTAGGAAAAGAATATTAGGAGAGACCTTGATTTTTCTGCGCAAAAGGTGACTTGGAGTTCTTGTGGCAGTAGGTATATGCAGGTCACAGGCACACTGATGGCAGTTGCTGTGTTATTCCTTAGTGGGGTCTGTTATTTTGCAGTCCATGGTGGACAGTAATATGCATTTAATTGTGCTCTGCTGTCTATTTCCTTCTTTTGGCACCATTTGGGTGTCTAGTGCATGAAGTTTTCAGGCAGCAGGGCAGATACAAGGGGCTTTTAGTACCTCATGAGTGGTTTAGGACGAAAGAGAATAGATGTGCTAATCAGTCAGGAATTCCTTCTGAGCACATATCCCTTGTTAACACTCTGCTTAATAAGGTTTTGAAGCTCCAGCTTCCAGAAGCTGGGCCACTGCTGAGATGAGAGGAGGGGTCACCAGGTCTGGTCAGGGTAACCTCGTTTCTTCTGTCCATCCTCGTGGTGGGTACAGCACGGAAGAGTGTATTTCACGAGCAAGGGTGATGAAAGGAGCCCAAGTACTGAACAGAAGAAAGGGCTTAAGGAGTGGGGACAAGAGCTGTGCAGCTCTCCTGGTGGAAATGTCATACTGAGCGTGCCTCTTGTGCCTCTCCCACAACTGCCATTTATCTCTCAGCTCCCACCCAGTTCCCCCGTCCCCTGCGTAATGCAAAGCCACTGCTTCCTTTTTTTAGTGTATTTTCTGTATGCACTTGTCAAATGGTGGTTCTGCCAAGTTAATGTGGGTGATTCCTGTTTGCACCTTGGTCCAGTCCTGCCGTTAGGTCTGGACAGATTTGAGGCTGTGTCTCCTCGGGAGGCTCGCTGTGGAATGGAGCATTCTGTGGTTTCCTGCTTGGCTGAGGGAAAGAATTCAAGTAGGGAATAAAAGTGATTGCTAATTTTGGTAAGGATCTTACATTCAGAAGAAGCTAGGTTTAACCAAAATAAGAATTGTGTGTTTTAAAGTAGCTGATTTTGGAACATGTTTTAATTTTGGCTCTGATTTTTTCTAGTGTCATATCTGAACTAATGTGACTTTTTGAAAGGTAGGGTCTTAGGTGACATAAAAGCTGTCATGCAGTAATAAGTGTGAAAAGTAGATAAAGAATTTAATACAGAAATGAATTCTTGATGCTGAGCGGTTAGGATCTTGTGGTAGATCTTTGCTTTTCCTTTATCCTCCTCAAATTCCAAATGTTTTTCATTCCCTTCCACTGAGAGGAATGAAACCAGAAACACTGGAGAAAAACTGTATAAAGTGAAGGCTTGAATCTTATGTGAACTATTTCCCTTCTTACAGCTTCATTAGGGAGAGAAAAGGGGTCAGTAGTTTGATCTGAACATGTAAAATTTATAAGCCTTGGCCAAGTTTATTTTGATTTTTTCACTTCATTAATAAATATTTTTGTATATGTAAAAAAATAAAATCATAAATGTGTGAATCACATGGGGAAAAAAACAACAAACACAAACATTTTCAATGAAGAATGTCACTTTTTTTGCAAAAACCATAGAGGTGTAAGGTTTATTTGGCGAGAATTTTGAATGAGTTACCCGTAATCTGGAGGAGATCTGATACGTAGACTCATGTCAAATGCTGCAGAACTTTCACTTATTTAACATTGGGCTATATAGGGGTAAAAGAAATAAGAAGTAGAAAGGATTTGAGATATTCTGGATTGTGCTTTCCTTCCAACTTGTGAACTTTTTTTTAGAAAGCAGATAGTATTTTACAAAGAGAAATTATTCTATTTTAAGGCTGATATTAATTAGCTGGGAAGACATCCACTGCTTAATACACATGGTAGCTTCCCTAATGGAAAAAAAATCTTTCATTTTTTTAAGGTTATTGCTAGCCTAAATGGCAAGTTTCCTCTCTGATTAAAGACTTGGCTGTCTAAGTGTCCCGTATCCTTAACCTGTAAAATTTGGGGGGAAGAAAAGGAAAATTTCTAGGCTGTTGTTAGATCAAGTTGATAAGTAATGCTGTTATGAGATTAATTGCTAGGCAGAAAGGGTTGCTAAAATTGCTAATAGTGCTTTATGTATGTGGAGAGCAAGAGGAGGCGTGAAGCTGTGTGCCCTGAAGCAGTGTGGAGTTACAGGTGCCCCAGCCTGATGCAGACTGCCCCAGCCCCGGGTGGCTGGCTGGGAGCTGGCTGCTGGGCCGCAGGAGCGCGGGGACGGCAGCGCACACGTCCTGTCCTGTCCTGTCCTGTCCTGTCCCAGACCACGGCAGAGAGGGGGCATCGAGGCACCCTCAGGGGGTTCATAGGCAACACCAAATGGAGCAGGAGTGTTCCTCTGCTCGAGGGTCGGGGGGCTCTGCAGAGGGGTCTGGACGGGACGAATCCATGGGGCAAGATGAGCTGTAGGAGGTCCAGCAAGGCCAAGGGCTGGGTCCTGCACTTGGTCACAACCACCCCAGGCAATGCCGCAGGCTGGGGAAGAGGGGCTGGAAACTGCCTGGGGAAAAGGCCCTGGGGGTGCTGGTGGGCAGCTGGCTGAACAGGAGCCAGCATGTGCCCAGGTGGCCAAGAAGGCCACCAGCATCCTGGCCTGGATCAGAACTAGTGTGTGGAGCAGGGCAGGCATTGTGGCCCTGGACTCAGCACTAGTGTGGCCACAGCTTGAGCACTGTGCTCTGTTTTGAGCACCACGTTGAGATGCTGGAGCAGGTCCAGAGAAGGGCAAGGAAGCTGGGGAGGGCTCTGGGGAACATGGCTTTTGAGGAGCAGCTGAGGGACCTGGGGGGGTTCAGTCTGCAGAAGAGGAGGCTGAGGGGAGAACTTCTGGCTCTCTGCAATTACTTGAAAGGAGGTTGCAGTAATGTGGGGATTGGTCTCTTCTCCCAACTTACTAGTATTAGGACAAGAGGAAATGGGCTTAAGTTGCACCAGGGGAGGTTTTGATTGGACATGAGGAAGAATTTCTCTCCTGGCAGAGTGGTGAGGCCTTGGCCCAGGCTGCCCAGGGAGGTGCTGGAGTCCCCAGCCCTGGAGGGGTTCAAAAACGTGTCAATATGGCACTTGGGGACATGGTTTAGTGGTCCTGGTAGTGTTGGGGTGATGGCTGTACTTGATGATCTTGGAGATCTTTTCCAACCTTAATGATTCTATGATTCTATTCTGGGATTCTATACATATTGTCCTATGTTTAATGATTGCCTTTATTTTTTTCTGCTCTCTTTCCAGAAAAATCCAAGCCAGCCTCAGATGAATCGCAGCCCCACAGTAGTGCCATCGGTCCTGTCATTGGCATAATACTGTCACTGTTTGTCATGGGGGGAATGTACTTCGTGTGCCAGCGAGTGGTGTGCCAGCGCTATGCTGGCCCCAACAGTCCTTTCCCACATGAGTATGTCAGTGGCACCCCTCACGTGCCTCTGAATTTTATTGCTCCAGGAAGTTCCCAGCATGGCACTTTTACTGGTAAGGACCTCGCGTCTGATCAGCACCATGACGTGGTCTGGAGCTGGAGTTTCACGGGTTATTAGGAGTGCTAGATGCAGAGCTCTCCCAGAGCAGGGACCAGACCTTGACCTGCTGGGTGGTTTTGGTATAAAGCCATCGTCTGGGCCAGATGTGCAGAAACTGTCACACGCCTCTCATTGGCAATCTTGACAGCTTTTCAAATGCAGTTTGAAAAATGCTTCATCTGCACGGGTATCTATGTTTTTGATAGAAAATCTACAGTATTTTGCCAGTGAAAACATCTTATTTCAACAGTTCATTCTGATATATGTAATAAAGTCTGGATTTTGTGTAGTACTTCATCCCCAAGGCCTGTGGAATACTATGGAGAGTAGTGACCCACGTGAAGTATTGGAAACTAAGAATGTGTGTGCCTTCAGTCCTCTAGTGAGAGCTCTGTTGGGTTGTTGTGTCTTGTACTCAGATGTCTTTGTGTCTGTCCTGTCCATCAAAGGTCTTTACACAGTTTTGTCTTGTCTGCTCAGGGTGGAGAAGTTCCACCACAGTGGAAAGAAGCAGAGGGAAGAAATGCAGCATCTTAATTTACTGTAACACTGAAAAACAGGGAGTGAAGCTCCCTTCTCAGAGTTTCGACAGTAAATGTGGAAGAACACAGGCAGTCTGGGTGGGATTTTTCTAGTCTGGCTGCTCATTGTCTGAAGTGCCACGAAAACAACCTCTGGTTTAGCCCATCTCTGAGACAGCGTTCCTCTGTGCTTTTGGGAGAAGTACTGAATTCCTGTGTTGCAGTCCTCTGCCTGAAAATGATGTGCCTCAAATTATTTTACAAATGTGAAATACACTTTTCGTAGAGGAAATCAAAAATTCTTAACTACAAAGCCCTAAGAAGAAAGATTCTCTCTTCATATTGTTCAGGAAGCTGGAAAGTAAATGTTTATCAAGTTGCCAGGCAGGGTGAGAATATAAGAAACCTGTATGTCGGAGTGCTTGGAGTCTGCATCTCATGTCAGCTGAAAATCAGATAGACCATAAACTTAAAGACACTTTAAGTATTAAACAGGTTCTTGAGATGTGCTGATTGTTGTTTTCTTCTAGCCGTGGCTTTGAAGGTAGCCACATGCAACTTAGGTTTAGCCTTCCTCACACTTTAATGGCTATGGTCAGCTGTTCCTGCTTCAGTTATGTTCTTATGTTTATCAAGAGGTTTTTGTGGTAAAATTTGAGGGTGAAATCATTGCTGTAGTGTTTTAAATTGGACTTCACACTAAAGCTTTTTTAATTAAAGCAAATATCTAGTTTTAATCTATACCTCTGCTAAACCAAGCTCTCTTCTCAAAATACTACCACTGATGTTAGTTCCAAAGAAAAGACATTTGTAATACCATGGCATTTTCAAAAAAGATAGGTGAATGATGATCACAGCTAGAGTCATTCTGCTTGTTATAAATACCTCCTGCATCTGAAAAAATGCTGAAAACTTCCCAAACTAAACCCTTCCACTAAGACTGAGTAGTCGGACAGGAAGAAGCTGAAAATGTATTGTCTGATTTAAGTGTATATTGGAGTAAAACAGATTTGAGAATCTTGTCTTCCCTTTTCCTGTCACTCGTATTTCCTTCCTTTTGCCTCTGCTGATTTTCAGTTTAAGCAGTGATTTTTTTTTCCATACAAAGAATTAATTTTTGCTGTTGTTCTTGTACTTGCAATTTCATTCCTTTGGATGGAAATGAAGACTTTGTAGGTCTCTAGCTTGTTTTTCTTGGACAACGTATAATGCTTTTTTTTTTGCAAATGCCTGAGTGTGTTTTATTTGAAAATTTGTTAGTTAATAATTAAGGTGAAAAGTTTGGATCAACTGTTCTAGAGCTTCCTTTCTCAGCAGAGTGTGAGAGCAGGTTGTGAGGAGTTCAGTGCTGCAGTGGGACAATAGATGGTCTAGGGGTGAGATGTTTTCTTTACAAAGTACATTGTTCCTTGTAAACATGAAGTTTGTAAATAAAACACTGTTCCTAAAGTGACAGCCAATAGTGGTGCATGGGTTTGCCAAGCTGTGGATTTGATTTCTGTTCTGCCTTGGTCCACGGAAGTGTGGTTTACTTACCTGTGTTTTCCTCACTGTCTCACTGCAGGCATCTCTTGTGGCAAGTCCATGATTAGCTCCATGAGTCTCATGGGAGGAAGCAGTGGTGCCCCCTTATATGACAGAAACCATGTTACTGGAGCCTCTTCAAGTAGCTCATCCAGCACTAAAGCCACTTTCTACCCACAGGTATGTCTTGAAAATATACCTATGAGTTAGGTATCTCCCACTTGTGAAGAAAAGGAAGATAAAAATTTGTGCTACTGATTAGAAAGTTAATAGTTTTTCTTGAGTGTTGCTGTTTATGATATACAGGCCCAGTCTAACACCCACTGAACTTCCCAAGAGGACTTTGTTGTAGTCCATCAGGATTACACAATGCTTTATGGTGTGCCAAATACTCTTATGAGTGTGATAATCAGCTGGGTTGTTCCTGGGCACTTCCATTCTCCTGTCTTGACTACCTTGGAGATGCCATCTTCTTTGTGCTTTGTAAACTTTGATGTCAGTGGCCCAGTGACATTTTGTCCTGCACAATGCTGCAGGCACACATAGAGTAAAGGCAGACAGGACTTGACAGGACTGGAGTGCAGACACAGAAGATGTAAGCTTGGCTTGCTGTTCAGGTAGTGCCGATTCTTGATTCAGAAAACCAAGTGCATGCACTGGGAGAAAACACAGGTACCAGCAGTGTTTGCTTTGCTTGGCATTTTTCACCTGTAGTTTAGGTTTATTTCTGGCTTTTAACTGTTGGAAGTGACAGAATTTTAGTCCCCATATTGGAGTTTCTTGAATTGAAAGGTATATGGATTAAGAGTATGTAGGAGAGACTTAACAGGTTGCTGTTTGCCAGCATTTTGTCGTATGACATTTTTTTTCCTTAGTTGTTCTGAGCAGAACGTACATAGATGGTTCTGTTCACACAAGCCTGCAGAGTCACTCTGCTGGCCACTGACATCATTTTTCAGTAGTATTGAATCAGGAGCCCACACACTGTGTGTGCCTACGTCCATTTCTGCTTGCCTGTCAATTGTGTCGGCATCTTGATTGATGGTGTTTTGACCAGGAGCAGATGTGCTACCTACCCCCTTTAAAGAAGGACAAAGATGGGGAGGCTTGTGAGCCTGTCTGTTGGTAGGGTAGGATTGGTTACTTATTTCTCACATGATCTTCTCAATGAAGCCATTGAGAAGCCAGTCACAGCTAGCAGAAGTTCAGAACTCAGCAGCCCTCCTAATTTAGCTTGTCTCTCCGTAAGGTGCTGAGCAGCTTGTGCCAGTGCCACACCGCAAGGCGCGGGCAGGAAGGGATGCCCTGCTGTCAGCAGCGCTTACGTACCGGAGAACCTGACCACAGGCATCCTGGCTGACCCGTTTCTGAACCAAATGTGAAATGGTGTTGATGCAGCTCAGGGCTCCAGTAGGAACAAACCCAGAAGCAGCATGTGGTACTCCTCCAAGGAAGGGGATTTCTGGGACGTGCTCCTGGGACACTGGCCATTCCCCGCAGGGGGCAGTGCGCGGTGTCAAAGCTTGTCTCCCCTCGCATGAATCTGGATGCAGGGCTTGTCTGATGTTAGTGAAGATGAGCTCAGCTTCATGGCCAGGGATCATTTTGGTAGACACTGCACAGTGAAGACCAAAACAACGATGTCCGTGCCAGTGATTTTACAGTGCTGTTGTGAGGGAGCAGAGGCAGAGGAAGGATGCTGTCGTGGTCACTGTGGCAGGCCGTGGCTTGCCAGGGTGCCCAGGGCAGGCTGTGTGCGACATGCTAACATCAGTAGCAAGGCCCCACCATCAAGAGCAGTGCTGTAATTTTCCACATTGGGAGGGATGTTTTTAGACCAGTGTCCTGCTTCCCATCTCAGGGGTTCTGCTTCCTACTGGGGGAAGAATCCTCCAGGACTCTGAAGCATAATGAACTGTTTTCCTAGTGTGAGGATCACCAGCACACCCAGGCTAGAGCAGGCTGTAACTGTACTTTACCTCTTAGGGTATTTGCATTGTGAACTGTGCCAAGATGATAAGTGTACAGAACAGCAGTAAAAAGGAAGCATCCAGGGAAGGACAAAGTTGTGTTAGTTATAGCAGAGGAACTGCCTTTGGGGGTGTATGTTCAGGGGCTGGGAGTGGAATAGACTTTATTTCCCACTGTTGTCTGCTGAGGACGATATCAGTCCTTATGTCCAAAGAGCCACACTGAGGTTCAGGAAAGTTGGGTCTAATTTCCAGCTTTACCCCAGCCTTCCAGTGTAACAACAGAGTGTCAGGGAAGAAAATTCCCTGTGCTGTGAGAACTTTGAAGGCCTGTAGCGTACCTAAGCCCAGAGTAAAGTTTCGTGATGAACTTCTGTGATCTTCAAAAATTCATTAACCAACCACCAAGGAGAGGAAACTAAAATAAGGATGAGTGACAGAATGAAGCCATAAATAGTATTTTCACAGTAAGTGGACTTATATCAGTATAAGTAACCCAAACTTTCACAGTGCTTTTTCCTGTTCTTCCTAGATCTTGAACCCACCTCCTTCCCCAGCTACTGATCGCTCCCTGTATAATGCAGAGATGTTTTATTCCTCAAACATTCCTTCAACCACAAGATCTTACAGGTACACCTTAGATAAAAGTTTTGATAAAACTATTAATCTGTCCTTTACTTTTGGATCTTAAGCAAAATGTTCTTGTTTAGACTTTACCTTATTTTAAAAAAAAACCTTTCTCTCTCTTAATAAATGACCATTCAGATCGAGGTTATATTAATTTTGATGTTAAATGTTGGCTTTGTGCTCGTATTTTGACACAGTAGAGTTTAGCACCTTTGAATACAGTGTTGCTGAGTAATGGTGCAATATGTATGTAGGTTAGATTACTGTGTAATAGTCACTTTAGCATCCTGTCTAGGGAAAGCTGGTGTTTTCTGTTCAGTTCCTCAAGCTTATCTTAAAACGCTTGACAAGTCAGCCTGTTTGTTAGTGACTGGGCTAAATGGTCATGGTGGTCTTCTCTAGCTGGTCAGGGGCTGGAAGAGGGAAATTGTGCCACTCAGATTCAACACAGCTCAGGTACTTCTTGTTGGGTTCCTGTGAAACCCTGCACTAAGGCTCATGGAGTGTGCTAATGAGCAGGCATCTTGCCTGAAGACACAGCACTGTTCATTTTCCGTCTTTCTCCTCCCTTTTTGCCCAGGCTGTGGAACCCAACTCATGCTTGTGCTTCTGTTGGTTTGCCTTGCAGGCCGTACCTGATACGAGGGATAGCTCCGCCCACAACCCCCTGCAGCACGGATGTTTGTGACAGTGACTACACCACCAGTCGATGGAAGGCCAACAAGTACTACATAGATTTAAACTCGGACTCAGACCCCTACCCCCCGCCCCCCACGCCTCGCAGCCAGTACCTGTCTGCGGAAGAGAGCTGCCCTCCGTCTCCTGCCACGGAGCGAAGCTACTTCCACCTCTACCCCCCCCCACCCTCTCCTTGTACAGACTCCTCATGACCTCAACAGAAGGACCTTTTCCTGTAAATATTTTAAAATATGAACAGATTTTAAAATATATTTTATGATTTAAAAATAAATCGGGGTGGGACAGCCAGTACCTGTCTGCGGAAGAGAGCTGCCCTCCGTCTCCTGCCACGGAGCGAAGCTACTTCCACCTCTACCCCCCCCCACCCTCTCCTTGTACAGACTCCTCATGACCTCAACAGAAGGACCTTTTCCTGTAAATATTTTAAAATATGAACAGATTTTAAAATATATTTTATGATTTAAAAATAAATCGGGGTGGGAATTAAAGAAAAAAAAGAAATGTGAAAAAAAATGGGTGGGAGGGATGGGACTGTGTGAAATTGTACAGAGGAAGAATATTTATAAAATTGATTTTTTTTAACTTAATTTCCATTCTTTCGTGCCATATTTGCCTTTTTGGAGTCATGAAAATTACTTGGTCTCCAAAGGATTTGGACAGGGAATGTTGAGCCTTTTTGCATTTTCAAGTCACCTTTTTACCTTCAAAGTGTATGTAATTCTTTTTATTAATGTGAGAAGAGAAAGCAGAGTGGCTTGTGGGGGGGGGGAGGAGTCTAGAGGAAGGTGTAAGTTTTTCACAGAGAAGAAATACATGTTTAAATAAAATGGCCCATATCTGATCCCTTCAGCACCACTGGGAGAAAACGTGCAAAGATCACAACCCTCAGATGCTCCTGTCTGCAGCTGGACTGAATGCTTCCCAGCAGAATTCTTATGCTGAGGCCTGAGTTTCAAACCTCCCTCTCCTGTTGCTTACCCCTGAACTGGAAGAACACTTCTTTTGGCCAAAACTTGCAGCTTAACTAGGCACAAAGGCATCATGCCCTCGTCTGCACATGGCCAGTTCTGGAGCTGGTTCAAGCTAAGAGAGACACCCTAAGAACCTCGATGTAGCGCCGGTGCCTTCGGCCGGAGTGGGTGGCTGGGAGCAGAAGCGGTTGTATTGGCCCGTGGGTGAGGGCAAGGGGCAAGTTCAGAGTTGTGGTTAAGCTGAGAGATGTGCCTGACAAACAGCAGGTTTGATCGTTCTCCGTTTTAATTGTGATGAAACCAAGCTCCTTCATCCTTGCTGTGACACCTTGGTGGCTGGCTGGGAGGAGGCTGTGACAGTCAGCTGCTTCCCGAAATGCAGTGCTAGTTCTCTTCTTCCCACAAGTCCAGTAATTCACTATGCCAGGTCTCTGAGATGCTCACTTGTGTTGACTTGATCAGAGAATTGCTTCATCTCTAATGTTCATTTTCTCAAGTGGAATGGTGGAGTCATTTGTGTTTGTTTTAATGAGGAAAGTTGCTTGGTTTTTAATTGGTGTTTGTAGAAAATGGTATCTGCATAGCTCAAAACAAAAGCATCTGCCATTCAAGGAATTCAGTACATGCCTCATAAAAATTTGCCACAAAATTAGTTCAGGTTTAGAAATGGAAAAAAAAAAGACCCAGGGGAAGAAGGAGAGGAGACAAATACTGCTTTTTAATTGTGTTGAAACAGAAGGGTAAACTCTGATACAAACTGCTGTAACCTAAGGACATTATGATCAGCAAAGTGCTCGAGTTTCCAACTCCTGCCAGGAAAACCCTTTTGGGAAGGGCAGGCTGGGAAGGGTCCCTTCTGAAGATAGGTTTTTGCTTTGATTGCTCTCGCACTGTAACAAAAGGGATTGGATATTGTGTGGAGCTGTGTAAGTGCAGCTCTGGTGATGATGATGATGATGTGAGACGTTTGAGCGTGCAGGCTCACACCTGTTTCTGCAGCTGCTGAATAACAGATGTGTTGGGCCTTTGACAGCCTTGATATTGTTGGCAACAATGAAAACTTTTTTTTTTTTCTTGTTTGAACATAATTTGTGCTTGATTTGGAGTCTTGACAGCAAGTTATTTGAGAGCACATCAGAGGAACCCTGCCAGTCCAGGACAGAAGTCTTTGTTGTGGTGGTGGAGGGGCTGGGACCACAGTGTTCTTATCCAGATTGTTTTCAGATTTATTAGTCCAGATCTGCTGTTCCTACCTGCATTGTTCAAGGACAGGATTTGTGCTGTCACTGGTGTGTTACTAAAACTCTTAAAGTAGCTTTTACTACCTTCATGTCTAAGTTTTCACTTGCGATGGAGAACAAAGAAGATGCCCACCATTTTTTATGGAGTACAGCATTGTACAGAGCTGGAGAACACAGCATGGGAGTTTAAGGATGGGCCCCTTCTCCACCCTTGTTAACATCAGTTACTCCATAGTATGCCAAGAGGAACGAGGCCATAGTTTGTTACTCTTAGAGTGGTTTGGCAGCCCTCTGAACAAGTGTTAGTGTTTGGGTGAAACGAAGCAATTTTCATGTGAGAGTGAACTAAATGAGGAACATAGATCCAGGGGATATTCTATGGACCCCGTCGGTCATGTAAAGGAGCACTTGTTCTGCATTACAACAGTCAGTAATCCGACCTCATATCCTATGTAGTTTTGTGCATCATATCTATTCACCATTTTTAATGAATTAATTAGTTGTTTCATCTTACAGCTCTAGCCTAGAGACATACTACATTAATTTTCCTGTATTCCTGTGATGACACTGGTTGATGTTTATTTTTTTTTTCATTAAATCACTGATCTTTTTGAAGAGCCACAACTGTAACAATGCTAACCACTTCAGTTGAAGACTTGCATCCTACTACCAAGTTTGGAGTCAAGTCCAAGAAAATTAGCATTCCTTCTGAGAGCTAATCTGTCTTAAGAGTCAGATTCCTTCGGAGCTTAGGTATTCAGGAGGGAAGCATTTGGTGAATGTGGTGAATTAAGCACGTACATTTTTATTTCAGTTGGACATTCGCAGCCTTTTGCTGCTGATGTTTGCTGAGAAATTGCCTCCTCTGAGGCACTTGAAGTTTGGTGATCAGAATCTAAGCCACACACTGCTCCATAATGCTGACTTTAAAAGCCTCTTCTAAAAAGAATTTGTACACACATTAAACATCTTAACATTTAACATATACTAAAAACTTTTTATTTCTGTGGACTGTATTCTTTGGAAGGATTGTTGCACTCCTGATGCTAGAAAAGAACAGAAGAAAAGTTTGAGTGACAGGAGCTACTTCTCTCCAGAAATATCCTCAGTGTGCTCTTAGTGGTTTCCATCCTGTGACCTTTCAGTGTGAAATGGAGGAAACAGATTCTATTTTCTTCTAGACCAGGATGAGAGAAAGAGTTCCAGGGAATTAGTGAAAGCGTATGACAAGTTGTGGCAGTTCAGAGCTGAACAGGAAATAAGTGGGGGAAAGTTGTATTTTGGTGAGGTTTAGGCCTAGTTCTAATAGGGCAGATGTTTTTTTGTGAGGAAGCTGACTGAAGTATTGTGAGTTCTCCCCTGGGAACCTGCAGGGGATGCATGTGACTGGACTACCCGTGTGAGCTTGTGAGTACTTGAATCCGTGTTTTCAACCACTATCTTCTGAGCCCGTTCAGACTGCAGAGGAGCAGGGTGTACTGCAGAACTGTCGGGGGGAGCTGCTCAGCAGCAAGTGCTGCGGCTGATGCCATGGTCCACTGAAGGACAGGTGTCCCAGCAGGGAGCAGCTCACCTGCCCTCCAGGCAGTCCCGACGGCAGCAGCTCGGCCGCCTGCTCTCGCAGCGTTCGTCCTGCCCGCGGGACAGGGGCAGCAGCAGGGGCAAGCTGTGAGGTAAATGGATGAGTCATGAACCTGGGCAGTGAAGTACTCTTTAATTTCAAGCACAAGTTTTGTGTAAATAATAGCTTGGCTTTATTTCAGCTGGACTGGTCAACAGCCACTGCACCCTGCAGTTTGCAGTGGAGGTAATCTATTTGCTTTTTATTGTTGGATAGTCTTGAGGAAGCTTTGTTGCACTATCCCAACTGTATTACTGGTTCAGTTTTCTTCTGCCTGGACAGATCACTGAAGAGCATGTAGGCTGAGATTAAGCTAAATATCTATGTATGACAAATAATGTTTTCTTTAGGATAGTGTCAGTACAAAATGCCCTGTGTCTAAAAACGAGACTGTGCCATTATCAGCATGTTCTAAAGAGAAAGGTGGAAATGAGTGGAAAAACATTTTTTCTTTTGGAATAATGGGTTTGCTTTTCAGCAATAAACCTTGATCTCTGGTTTGCAAAGGGTGCATGCACTTCCCTGAAAGTTTGTATTCTTTTCAAAGTAACAACAAAACAGGTCTCTTCCCTCAGCACCTGCTCTACACACCTAGGATGGGCCTTCTGGAAATCTCCAGGCCCATTTATCCTGGATATGTTTTCCATCTGCTATCTAGGAGATCATATGCTGGATTTAGGACTCATTTTTCTCCCCATTTTTATGCCAACTGGTGCCTCTTGGATTCTGGGGCTCTTGAAATTCTGAAGCTCTGTACATAGCAATGGAAAAGGATTTGGAGGCAGGAGCGCTGGGTAAGGCCTGGTCACAAGGACCTTCCTCCGTTGCTTGCAAGGTCAGGTCCCTTTGCTGGGAAGAGCTGTGTCTTCTTCAGAGCCTCTGGAGCACATGGCACTACTGCACCAGCCTGGGCAGGCACATTTGACAAAGATGTGTGTCCCGTTTGCTTCAAGGATTTTCAGAAGCAGATCTTTTCTGTGGCCAGACATTTTGTTGGGGTCTGTGTTGAGTCAGTCCAAATGACTAGCTGTGCTCAGAATTGTTCTACAGGCGATACCCATTAATGTCAGGAAACTAAAGCAGAATGCAAGCCTGTTCCAAATAACTAATAACACTCAGGAGTGCCTGGCAGGGAGCCTTGAATTAACCTACTTGCTGTTACAGTGCTGAAGGACATTTTATAAATGTCCATGTTTGGACAAGCCTTAGACAAACCACAGTCAAAGCTGATAGTTGTTTATAGTTGTTTCTATGTTTTTATTACGACTACTCACTGTAAATTTGGCTTGTCCATAGAAGATTCAGGGAAGGCTCAATCCTAAACTCTAAGAGGTGTCTGCTGTTTCAGCTGCTGTTCCTTTAGGGAGTGCAACACTTGCTATTCATCATTAAATGTAAAAATCCCTTTCTTTAGCTATTTTAAGTTTAACTAAACAGCTTAAGGTATTTGCCACGTCTTAAGGGAAACATTGATATACATAGATGTTTTCAATCCTGTCACGTCTCTTAGCTGTCCTTCTTGAGGACATTTACTCTGTTTTTTGTAAAGGGTATTTTTCCTTGTTTATTTTGAAACTGGCCAACTGTGCTGTGGACCTTTTCACTTAAGATCATAGTCCATGGAGGGAAGAAAGGAAAAATTTGTTTTATATCAATGTTAAGCCTGCTGATAGGAATGATGTAAAACAGTGTAATAAAATGGCTCCTACGCTCTACAGCGAAATCGTTCAAAATGCCCTGTCCTGAGGTGCTGA